CGATTAACGATCCAGCAATAATACCACTAGGCCATCGCCTACCCCACGACTGAAACAAGAGAAGCAAGTACATGTGTGCAATGGTCTCATTCACACAAATGGTGTGCGAACTCAGATCTATTTTGTAATTGTGCAAGCGGACAGTTTTACACATGTAGATTTTGCTTTAATGTATGCAGCCATTCTTAAAGGTTTCTTGAAAGGAAAACTGGGTTTTCCTTTCATTTCTTCAAATTAGACATCAGCAACATTCCCTCACCCAGTCAAGCCTCAACCAGACTTTATACAGAACGTAACCCAAACTAACTCAATGCTTAATGGCAATCTCAACCTTGCCATAGCATGGCTTGTGTGAAATGTGGGTCAGGAGCGATGTACTTTGAATTTGAGGAAGTGGAGCAGGATGTAGAAAGTTTTAATCAATGCTGGAGACTGAAAAAAAAGCAAAAGGTCATTTTGCAGCATTAAAGATCCTCCCAACTCTTGATGGATAGAAGATTCCACCCAGTTCTAAGTACAAAGTCCAATTTGAGAACTGAAAATAGAAGTGTCTTTGAGTGCATTGCGGGTTTTGCTGACAAAAGTAAGCTTTATTTGTCCAGAATGCCATCGATAATGTGCAGTCTCAATGAATACGTACACACACACACAATTACCACATAATTACAACGCAAGACAGCTGTTACTAAATCTAGCCCTTTAGCCATTACAAGCCAGCGCTTCATATGAATGTTCAAGGACAAAGTTTAAGATTTGAAGCTTTATTTCAGGTGAACCAAATCCTTTAGTCATAAATATTGAAATTACAATTTCTTTATCATTTTTGGTGCAGTCAATGCTCATCTTGCACAGAGTTATGGGGGAAGTTTAACCAAAAACATCCAGTGGTTTTGAACCAGATTGGGGTCGGGGGAATTAAACTCATTAAAAAAAATCAGTTTCCTGATCAAAGTCACCAATTTGGTTTTAACTGAGGTGGGTGGATGCTCAACTTATTCCAATGTGGAATATTGGTACTTAAAGTAAGATATGCAGTAATCATAATGAAACCTGGCAGCTCCATCCAGGTGAGAGTTTGCTGGGTCCAGGAGCAGAATCTTTACCCTCCTACCTGGGCAAGGCTTAGCAATAAACTTTAAAGCCAATTACATGGATATGAGGGGCAAGTTGGAGAATTTAGAAATAAAGGCATGTCAGCAGTTAAGTAACAGCAAACATGTAAAGTAGTATTTCACAGTTCACAATGAATATTCCATTGTATGACAAAGCTCCACAGGAAAAACAATTCAACACAGCATTAGACGAAAAATAGAGGCTTACAATAATAGTGAGTAGTAGCAATAAGGCTGAGGACTGGTTCTGTAGATTCTGAAACAGTTGGAGAATAGCAAATGCAACACTATTGTGCCAGGAAAGACAGCAAGGAACCTCAGGCCACTTGGCTTAATATCAGTTGTCAGGAAAGGAAATGGTAATAGGGCACTTAGAATATTAAATGATAAAAAGACAGAACCAACACAGTTTTATGAAAGGGGAACTGAAAAGGGGTTTGACAAATCTAGAAATTGCTGGAAAAGCTAACAGGTCTGCCAGCATCTGTGGAGAGAAATCAGAGTTAAGTTTTGGGTTGGATGACCCTTCTGCAGTTCCTATTTTCCAGGAATTTCTGTTTTTGTTTCTGATTTACAGCAGTTCTTTCGGTTTATGTTTGACAAATCTATTGAGTTATTTGAGAATGTAACTGGCAGTGTAGATAAGAGGAGAATCATAAATGTACTTTATTTGACTTTTCAAAAGACACGCTAAATAAAACGTTATTGCACAAGGTAAGGAATCATGGTGTTGATGATAATACATTATAATGGAAACAAAATTGGTCAAAGCACAAAAATCAGAATAAGAAAAGTTTGAATAACAAGTCACAGAGCCATAGAGCACGGAAACAGACCCTTCGGTCCAACCAGTCCATGCTGACCATAATCCCAAACTAAACTAGTCCTAACTGCCTGCACTTGGCCCATATCTCCCCAAACCTTTCCAATTCAGGTACTTATCCAAATGTCTTTTAAACATTGTAACTATACTTACAGCCACCATTTTCTCTGGAAGTTTATTCCACACACGAACTACTCTCTGTGTAAACAAATTGCCCACCACGTCTTTTTTAGAACTTTCTCCTCTCACCTTAAAAATATATGTCTCCTAGTGTTGAAATCCCCCATTCTAGGGAAAAGACACCTGCCATTTACCTTATTATTTTCATTTTCAGGTTGGCAGGCTGTTGCTTGCGGAATTGGACACGGATCAATGCTTGGACAACAGCTGTCTACAATCTACAACAAGATAATAGACCAGATTTTTAGTGTCCCTACCTCTGAGCCAGAAGGCCTGCATTCAAGTCCCCCCAGGTCCAGAGGTATCTCATTACATGTCTGAATAGGCTGAAGGTATCCAATTTGGTTGACCACCTCCAGAGGCCTAAAAATGCCAGGCAGGAACTGGATACTACAGTCCTGCTCCAATTTCCACTCAGATCCTACTTTTGCCCGTGGAGGGAAAGGGAACCAGATCGTGAATAATGCAGGTGGATGTAAATGCATCGCAATCAGCTCAGCGATGATACAGAGAGTGGAGAAAAGATTTACAAGGACCAGGGATTCAGTTGGAGAAGGTGTGTTTGTTTTCCTTACAGGAAAAGGTTAAGAGGAGATTTGGTGGAAATCATGAAAGGTCTAGACAGAGTAAATACAGGGAAACTGTTTCCATTGGAAAAACGTTCAAGAACCAAATTTGATTGGCAAAAACAAGGCTAAAGGAAACTTTCTTAAAAAAAAACACAATGTATGATTGGTGTCTTGAATGCATTCCCTTAGAGTGCGCTGGTGACAGGTCTAGTAGTAGCTTTCAAAGGGGAACTGGACAAGCACCTGAACAGAAAAAATAAATCAGGTGGGCTATCACCTAAGGACAAGGGAGTGGGACTGTCACATTTGCTCTTCCAAAAAAACCAACATAGGATGAAAAGGTTACATTTCTTCTTTTGGGGGCTGGAATAATTCTGAAATTCTAACATCGACATTAAATTTACTGGTTTGCTCTGCTCACTTCCTTTAAATAAATGTTATACATTTACTATCCTTTGAAACCAGCCTTGCACCTAAGCAGGATAGGAAGCTTGTGACAAGCAGCTTCACAATGTCTACCCTTACTTCTCTCATCAGCTCAAAATGCATCTGATCTGAACCACATGACTTTAAGTACACTAGCTTTGCTGGAACCTCTTTTTTAAATCTATTTTTATCTCATCAAGTACCACTAAAGAAATCACTTCACTTCACATAACTTTTGAAAGGTTTACAGCCAATGAAGTATTTTTGAAACTGGTCACGGATGGCTTCCAAGAAAAGTGTCAGCACGCAGCAAGATCTCATGAATAGTAAAGTAATAATGACCTGAAAACATACTGTTAGCTGTCTGTTGAGGGATACATTTTAGCCCGGATGCAAGGAAACTCCTTTGTTCTTTTTTTTTTGAAATTGTGCCTTGCAATCAACTTTCACATCTATCCGAAAGAGCTGACAGGGCCTTGGCTTCACATGTCAATTCACATCTACACCTCCAATCATGTACCACTCACTCAGTGCTGCACTGGAGAGTCAAGAAAAATAAATCAATTTTCAGAACTTATTTTTTTGCCAGCTGAGTTAAGTTCTTTTCTTCCAGAGAGGAGGGAACAAACCTGAGGCAAGATGGATGTTTTTGTGAGGCTTCTAGGCGCAGATTACAATGTTTTTCACAGGGATGAAATGACCAGTACAAAATTCCCCAGTTGTGCAGATTTAATCCTCTTAAAAGGGTTGTTATGGAAGTGTACAAATAAATGCATTCATACATTGTATTAATTTGACACAGCATACAGGAATATAAAAAAGCAAAGAAATTTATTTTTAGCATGTGATTTAAAAAGAAACCACAATAGAAATTAAGTATTTATGACTAAAAGTGAGGATACTTTATCCGTTTGTTTCGACAGAGACATGTGGAAGTTGGTATTTTGTCTTTAAATATTGATACATCAGTTCATATTCAGTTTCTCAAAAGGGTCGCTGAACTAACATGCTGGGGAAAATATTTGTACCTTACACGGTTTACATCCAAGGTTTGTTGTATAATGCTACTCTTGTAAAATTTGCACAATAGTTAGAGCAGGAAAAGGCCACATTAAAGAGCACAAAATCACTTTATCATCAGAAAATGGTACAACATCATGCTCACGATTTCCAATGCCTAGATGAAATGCTATCAATCACTCTCTCAATTTCTACCCCACTCAATTCTCAATGATAATCTGAGGAAGCTAGTCTTAAACATATCCATCTATGTCTGACTTGCTGTGCTCCACAGTTGTCAATTTCTCATCATCCTTCCTACAATAGCAGAAACCTTTTAATCCTCTGGAGTATTCAACCACTTTAGCCTATATCTTTCTTGTAATAATTTTTCTCATTGCTAGTCACACAGTTCCTTCAACTACTCTATTGAACAAGCTAATTAAAATTGACGTGGTTAACAACTCTACAAAAATTTTTTACATGCAACAAAATAGGCAAACTATAATACCATATAAAAACCGAAAGAACTGCAGATGCTATAAATCAGAAACAAAAACAGAAGTTGCTGGGAAAGCTCAGCAGGTCTGGCGGCATCTTTGAAGAAAAGATCAGAGTTAACGTTTCGGGTCTGGTGACCCTACCTCAGATCTCAGAAGTTCTGAAGAAGGATCACCGGATGCGAAACGTTAACTCTGATCTTTTCTTCACAGATGCCGCCAGGCCTGCTGAGCTTTTCCAAACTATAATACCGTTCTTGAAAAAAATGAAACATTTTCCTCATTCCAATGTTTCACGGGGAATGAATCCATACAGCTACACAATCCAATCAGAAGCAGCTGCCAACTAAATTAGACAAGGAACAGAAATATGCTCTTGAAGCTAACTTACCTGCGACAGTCAAAACAGAAGGGGAAGTGTCTGCAATCATTTTCATCTTCTCACCATTCTGTAACCAGTAAATATCCACAGGATATGGTGGGCCCACAGCCTCACAGGTGAGATTAAAGGAAGCATCTCTTGTGACATTCTTTGATTCAGGTTCTTGAATAAAACTTGGCAATCCTGAAAACGGCAGCATTTAAAAATGGCATCAATTAACTACAAGTTGTCCTAAATGCACATCATAGTCAGACACATCTTTTATCTATAAACTCTGCTTATATTGTTCACAGGGACAATCTATTTGATACCCTAAAATGTATCATTAACTGTAACTATGTATTATTCATGAGTTTTTTTGAGCATTTGCATTTTGATTTTTGCATATTTACAAATCCTGGAGGTGGAAAAGCAAGCTGATAAGGCAGCCAAAAAAAAAATTCATGCACTCAATACAAAAACAAGGAAGTCATACTATACATTCACAAGTCACTGTATGGGCCAATACTAGACAGATTTTAAGAAGAACATTAACATTTTGGAGAGGGTGCAGAGAAGGTTTACCAAGATGATACACAGTATGAGGGCAAACGTAAAATACTGCAGAAGCTGGAGATCAGAAATGAGAACAGAAAATGATGGAGAAAATCAGCAACTCTGGCAGCAGAGACAGAAAGTGAGGTAACAGAATGCCACATGCAAAGGGAGAGGTCAATAAGGTTTGTTCAGAAGACAGATGGGAATCTTGCCTTTATAAGTGATGGTATGGAGCACAAGAGCAAGAAGGTTATGATGGAGCTGTATATAATATTCGTTGGGCCACAGTTCTGGTGTGCAGTTCTGGTCACCACACTATAGGAAAGATGTGACTGTGCTAGGGAGAGTGAAGAGAAGATTTACCAGAATGGATAGAAGCATTTCAACTATGAAGAGAGACTAGATAGGCTGGGGTTACAACAGAGTGATTGAAGTGTACAAAATTCTGAGGGGCACGAAAGGGGTAGATAGGAAGAAAATTTTTCCCCTCATTAGAGGGATCAACAGCTGGGAGGCATAGATTTAAGGTAAAGGGTAGGAGGGTTAAATGAGACTTAAAGGAAGAATTTTTTCATCTAGAAGGTGGCAGGTACCTGGAACTCACTGCCTGGAAGAGTGGTAGAGGCGGGACCCATAATCACATTTAATAAGTATTTACATTACCACTCGAATTGCCATAGCATACAAGGCTATGGGCCAAGTGCTGATTATGGATCATGGAATCCCTACAGTGTGGAAGCAGGCCATTTGGCACATCGAGACCACAATGACCCTCCAAACAGCATCCCACACAGACACATTCCCCCCTACTCTGTCCCTGTAATGCTGCATTTCCCACGGCTAATGGATCTAACCTGTGTATCCCTGGAGACTATGGGTAATTTAGCATGGCCAATCCACCTAGCCTGCACATCTTTGGACTGTGGGAGGAAACTGGAGCAGCCGGAGGAAACCAACACAGACACAGGGAGAATATGCAAACTCCACACAGACAGTGGCCTGAAGCTGGAATCAAACCTAGGACCCTAGCACTGTGAGGCAGCAATGTAAACCATTGAGCCACTGTCCCACCAAGAATATAGATTCATAGAGTCATACAGCACAGAAATAGACCCTTTGGGCCAAATCACCCATGCCGACTGTACATCCCAATCTAACCGAGTACCGTTTGCCAGCATGTGGCCCGTATCTCTCTAAACTCTTCCTATTTGTATACCCATCCAGATGCCTTTTAAATGTTGTAATTGTACCCACCTCCACCACTTCTTCTAGCAGATCATTCCATACACGCACCACCCTCTGCATGAAAAAGTTACTCTCTAAGCCCTTTTTACGTTTTTCACCTCTCACCTTAAATCAATACCCTCTAATTTTAGATTTCCCCACCCTAGGGAAAAGACCTTGGCTGTTCACTCTATCCATGCGTCTCATGATTTTATAAACCTCTATAAGGTCACCCCTCAGTCTCCAACGCTCCAGGGAAAAAAAGCCCCGGCCTATCCAGCCTCTCTCCATAATTTAAACCCTCCAGGAAACATCTTTGTATATCTTTTCTGCACCCTCTCAAGTTTAAAAACGTCCTTCCTATGGAAGGGCAAACAGAATTATACACGGTATTCTAAAAGTGGCCTCACCAATGTTCTATACAGCCACAACATGACATCACAACTCCTGTACTCAACGTTCTGACCAATGAAGACAAGCATGTCAAACGCCACCTTCACCACCCTGTCTACCTGTGACTTCACTTTCATGGAACAATGCACCTGCAACCCTCAGTCTCTGCTCGGCAACACTCCAGAGTCTTACCATTAACTGTCTAAGTCCTGCCCTGGTTTGCCTTACCAAAATGCAACACCTCATATCTACCTAACTTAAATTCCATGTGCCACTCCACTGCCCATTGGCCCATCTGATCAAGGTGTCATTGTACTCTGTGATAATCTTCTGCGATGGTCCACTACACCATCTGCAAACTTACTAACCATGCTTCCTACATTCACATCCAGATCATTTATATAAATGACAAAAAGTAGTGGACCCAGCACCGATCCTTGCGGCACACCATTGGTGACAGCCTCCAGTCTGATAAGCAACCCTCCACCACCAATCTCTGTCTCCCACCTTCAAGCCAATTTTGTATCCAGTTGGCTAATTCCCCCGGATCCCAAGTGAGTTAAATTTACTAACCAGTCTACCATATGGAATCTTGTGGAATACTTTGCTGAAGCCCATATAGACAACGTCTACCCCTATACCTTAATCAATTTTCTTTGTCACTTCTTTAAAAACTCACTCAAGTTAGTGAGACATGATTTCCCACACACAAAAACACGTTGACTATCCCTAATCAGTCCAAATGCATGTAAATCCTATCCCTTAGAATTCTGTCCAACAACTTACCTACCACTGACATAAGGCTCACCGGTCTATAGTTCTGTGGCTTTTCCTTCCAGCCTTTCTTAAATAATGGCACCACATTAGCCAACTTCCAGTCTTCTGTCACCAATCTGTCATTAATCTATCTTTATGCATTTTAAGACCTCAAGCCCTTCCCCTGCTGTAATATGAACTCTTTTCAAGACATCACTACTTATTTCCCCAGTACCCGAGCTTCCACATCCTTCTCCACAGTAAATGTTGACACGAAATATTCATTTAGTATCTCAACCATCTCCAGCAAATGGGTGTTTGATGGCCAGTGAACACGATGGGCCAAAGGGCCTCTTTCTGTGCTGTAAAACATTATGACTCCATGTCTTGTAACTACAAAGTATCTGATGCTCTATTAGAAGTATATGCAATAAAAATCATGGGGATCCATTAAAATTACAAGCCAAGAACATAGAATCAGAAAAACCAACAGAATTACAAGCCTTGCAGCTAACCTTACCTGGTCAAGGCCATGTACACCAGAAAACATAGGCTGATGCTGGAGTACTATTCAATACCTGCCAGTTAGCTTCAATACCATCACCAAGGTATGTCATTAGTTATTCATGAAGAATCGCAAGAATGAGATGATGTCTACTTGACAACTGTTAGAGGGTGGGATAGCATAATCCACTCATGATGCTGTTCTCGACTGACATTCGCACATAAACACTAGCACATCACTACTAAATAGTAAACCTGTTGAGCAACTGTCATTTTGCTTATCCCAGGGTCATTGTAGCTAAGGATAACTCCTTCTTCATCAACCTGTCTACCTGCAACTCCACTTTCAAGGAACTATGCACCTGCACCCCGAAGTTAAAATCTTCCAAATGCTTGTCCTGGTTCAGATTCCTTATTTGGCATGAAACTGTGATTAAACTTGCAAATTCTTCCTGATTTTTACACTTCAGTTGCACACTCAGTTGTGATTTACCAGAGCACACTGCTTAATAATTTCTAATGGGTGTCTTGATGGCCCCAGCTCTTCGCTAAGCAGCCTTCCCAATTTCTATTGCTGAGATTTGCGATTTGAGTATATAACACATGACAGGAAGGAGAAGTGAAACACGAATTGTGACTCAAGTTTTCCACATTGCAAACTAACAAGGACTGTTGGAAACTTTCCCCTTCCTCCTCTTCTGTTCAGAATTTCTGTACATAACTCACCCAGAATCCTATATTTCCCACCAGCTGTGTGGCCAAATTTGATTGGAAATAAAACAAGTAACTCATCTCGGTCAATAAGAATATGAAGTAAATTCTCATATCAAAATGGCAAGGACACAAAGGTGCTGCACTAAACTACTCTACAGAATGCAAAGTAAAAAAACTGATTGAACAATTTCAGTATGGTCAGAAAGGAAAAGCCCATGGGCCCCAACAAAAATAAGTTACAAATTGAGTTCAAAGTTGGCTCAGTGACAGGAGCAAAATGTACTGATGGATGGATGGTTTTCTGGAAAGCTGTTCACATTGGGTCCCGAAGGGGTTAGCTCTTTTCATAACATGTATCAATGATTTAAACTCAAGTGCAGGGCCAATGATTAAAAAAAAATTCAAATAATACAGAAATGGCATGTGGTTGAAATGAGGAAGAAGGCAAGGCTACATGGGGGGCAAAAGCTGGCAGAACCCAAAATGAGCAAACGTGAGCATGTTATTCCATTGCAAATATTTCTTGATAGCACTGTTACCCCTTCAAACATTTTGCTGATGATTTAGAATAGATTGATAGGCAAGTAACTGCTACATTGGATTGGCCCTCCTTCTTGTGGACAGGACACACTTGGGCAACTTTTCACATTGTTGGGTAAATGACAGTGTTGTAACTGTACTGGAACAACATGGCGGGTAATGGCTGGTTCTGGAGCACAAGTCATCACTCCTATTGCCATTTGGAGAAGGAAAGCAAAGCAAAAGAATACATCATAACATTATACTAAAGTTGTACAGAAATAGAGATACCCTGCAGTACAGGCCCTCAAAATCCTGAAGGTATCATGCCAAGGGATAATCAGTTATGAAGGCGAGTCTAGCACCTTTGTTCATTAGCGAAGATGTAGAACATAAAAGAGGTTATGCTGAAAATGTATAACACATAGTTGGTCCACTGCTGAGTACGGCACACAGTTCTGGTCACCACATCAGAGGAAGGGTGTGATCACATTGGAGAGGATATTTTGGAGATTTATGAGCTTGTTACCTGGACT